TGAGCAAAAGTGTCAGACCTGCAGCTCTTGAAATGCATACAGGCAATTCCACTGGAGGAATCTGCCTATGCTGGCAGACAGCAGCGGGATGCCTCTGGGACTGGTGAAACCATATCCGTGTCTCAACACTGCTCTGTCATCTGGATACCTCTTTTGAGAGGGATACATCCGGTACTGGTGTCATGTAGACATCTGTGATTTTCCAGGGAGGTTGTAGCAGGCGTCACCTTAATTCTTTGCATCTGAGATGTCCTGAGCTTCCGAAGGAGCATCCAGAGTGCTGTGAATCTGAGCTATACCACTGCTTTCATATGGAGAGCAAAGTCAGATTGCTTTGAGTTCCTGTACATCACAAAAATGGTCCTTCTTGATTGGTACCGTGCAGTTTCGCAGAGTATAATTGAAAGTCTCTGCCTGTTGAGCTCCTGCAACTGAACAGGTGATGCTGTGCTGTAATGGGGGACCCCAGTGCAGCCCATGGTTTGTTACACCCTACGGGGATTTTGTCATGTTACAATGGCAAAACATGATCAGACCTCGTAGAAGAATGTGTCAGGCTGATGCTGTTGGGGAAAGTGGTTTCAGGTAATTTGCAGGAGACATTAGGATAATCACAGTCCAAAATGTTCTACAGGCAGTGTTTGAGCAATTCAGGATCCAGGACCCAGTACTGGGGACCTGACCCCATTGTGGGAGTGGGAAGTCTTGTCATTGAAGAAGAGTAAGAAAAGCTGATGTTAAGTTCAGGAAAACCACCATAACCAATGAACTGAGACTGGAAACTCTATTTTCAGCCTTCCTCACATTTCCATGACACTGTTGTAATAGAACCTATGGGGAAGGTGGAGAGGATGGATGGGACCAAAGCATCATTTAGCTTCATCCATTGTGCTAAGGAGTGCAAGAGCACAAAAGATTTTCTGTGTTCATATAAATGAAGGCAAGGGCAATTTGTTATGGTTCTCAGTGAGTTTTGTAAAATGCTCAGACAGACCCTCATCCTATATGCTGAATTGTTTGTAAGTTTGTTTAGTTTCTTAACTGATAACTAGTAAGGGGTAGAGATGGGCAAGCTGTGATGGTTTGGGGTTTTGTTGCAGTGAGATGGTCGTTCAAGCAGCAATTTTATATTGGGAAAATAGTATTTTAAAAAGAAAATAGAAGGTATTTGTATAATGTTGACTTTGTTTCCATCCATTTATATACCCTCATTTCAGATTATGCATCCCATTCTAGTACTGTAATAGAAAAAAACAAAACTGAAGAATTTCCTGAGTAAGGACCAGGTGTTCTGCCAGGAATGATGTGGTCCCAAGTATGTCTCTTCAGTGTTTGCAAACTGCATCCAGTGTATTTGCCTTTATGAAGATCTGTTTGCCTTCAAAGACTTGAATACTCACCTTCACTGGACAGTCATGGCTCTCTCTAGCTATGTCCATCAGCTGTGAAATAGCCAGTGTTGGTGTTTCAGTTGTCTTTGTGTTTTAGCTATGAATGGAGGCCAGTTGCAGTGGCCAAGTATTTCAGATTGTTGACTCATTTATGCAGACATCACAATTGGTTGGAAGTGCCTCAACTTCCCTATACCCCAGATGTATATTTCGAATTAATAACGTAAGAAATGCATGGTAGTGCCTTTGCCCTTTCATGACCGCAGTGTTAGAAGATTTGGATCACTTAAATGTATTTATTTGAATCTTTAATGCTGTTTGTCAACATCAACCTGTAAGTGCACAAAAGATACACCTGTTTCCCAGCCATTTACAATTGTCATGTTGAACTGTGTCATAATCAAAGCTTAGGTCCTAATGGTCTTCCCACCAAGCTAATGTGGGGACACCCTGTTTCTCCCATCCTCTATAAAGCACAGGGCATGGCTGATGTCTTTGGTTACCTGAGACCTTAAATAAAATCCCAGGTTCTGCAATGACCTTGTTGCTGGTGATGCTTTTGATCTTTCCAGCTCTTTACTTCTAGCACCTTATTCTGGGGCTTTTGCTTCAGGTTTTCAACTGCATACAGGCTGTTGGAAAGCAAAGCAAAACACCCCTTTGGTATAGCAAAGTTTCTCTGGAATTTATTAAAGCAATGCCATCAATAAATGATGGCTGTGGGGTTTGCAGATCCTACAGCCAGCCGTAATGCAGTTTCAGACTTGTATTGACAGAATAATCCCTTCCTCACTAAATACAAACATGTAAACATTCACTGAACATCACTTATTCCCTCTTAAGAAACTGCATCGCTCTTAGGCTAGTGCTGCTCTTCAGTGCAGTCTGGGGTTAAAAAAGCAGAAGGCGTTTTAAAGAACTAAGCTTCCAGTGAATTATTTTCATTGGAAATGTTCAATTGCTACTTTGGAAATCTTAATATGTATTTTTCAGCTGTCCTGAATTTGTTCCTTTGTCCTGGGAGGAACTTGAGAGAAATGAATACAGACAAATTATTTCATAAACCATGCAAAATGGCTGTGGATTGACAGTTAAATCTGTAACAGTGAATACATTCAATTTTCCCCTTTGTTCTGTCAGCAGTCACTTGCACTCTAAATGTCTATTTAATTTTTTAAGTAGATTACCAGGAAATGTTTGCATTATTTGATTATTGAATTTACTTTTCCAAATAATGGATCTTTTCCTCAAATATTTATGTGGTATTGAAACCGTTTTTGCATCAGGGAGCAATGCTGAAAATGAATGGGGACCATATTTTGAGTGATTTGGAGTATATGTGCAGAATGTCTCATCTGAAATCACTGTACACTTGTGTTGCGTTGGGGGAAGAAAAGCAGTTTGTCATCTGTACTGCTTTCCAAAATTAGAGTCAGATAATCCCACCTTTTTGAGTAAATAAGGAGCAGATTGGCCTGAAAAATGAAATGCAAGTAAGCTCTTGATATGTGATATAAAAAATAAATAAGCTAATATGTGAACAACATAGAGCATTTTAGTGATAGATGATAGCAGAGATTACCTTTGTTGTTTACATAATTAGGCTGGGCAGGGAAAGGAGAGGGAGAAAGCAGCATTCAGCAATGCTTTGTTTAGTCCTGTGTGGTTGGGGGCTTGGGGGGGGTTGGATTTTTCCTGCGCTCCGTGTGTGCATGTGCTTTGCAGTGCACGGATGAGGAATTGTATAGGAAATTTGCAGCTGCTCTAGTTATTCAGTAAGATTTGTATAAGCTGGCACAAGGGACAAAATTAGAGGGAACTTGAACGAGTGCCGTGCAGTTTATTAGCTAGGCAGCCATAATTTTGACCTTGCTGTGGGTTAAAGGACACAGACCTGAGAAGAAATCTGTTTATCATGGAGGGAATTCATGCCGTCCCTGACAGTGTACAGTGAACAAGATGGATGATCTGCCAAATTGGTCCCTCGCATGGGTGAATCAGGGCAAATTTACAGTACAATTCCTTTGCTGCTCCTGGTACAAAAATAACATTTGCTGGGGTTTGTATTCAGTTGCATGATGACCTGGGGTGAACAGAGAGAAGAAATCAGATTTGTAGGATCCCTATTACCTTAAAGATTTATATGCACCTTGCTTTCCTTTTATGTCTGCCTCTTTTGCATCTCTCATAAAGCGCTAAGGAAAAAGTCCAGTTGCTTGCTTTGAGAAAGCAACTTTATGTAGGAGTGTCAGGAAACCTCTCCAAAATGCAGCGTCTTTGAAAGCTTCTGTTACCTTGAACAACACAATTACACTATGCTCCCCGCTCCATGTGGACCCCACTTCTGTAGCGTTTTCCTTTAGTGTTTGGGATATGCTTCCATGCTGCACAAGCTGCATGTGCTGTAATGGTTTGACAATACTCTCCATAACAAACAAACGAGAAATAGTGAAATTTGCTGTTAGTGACAGGAGCTGATGCTGCAGAGTGAGCCTCTCTTATAGCTGTGTTGCCATGCTCAGAAAACAGTTCTGTTAGAGGGACTAAGTTTTTGATGGGGACTGGCCTCATCCTGTACCGTTGAGAGCCTTGTAAGCTGCCTCCAGAGAGCTCGAGACAAATCCACTGATGTATGAATCTGATACACGTGCGATTAACCGTGTCAAGTAATGAGATGTGAGACAGCAAGGAGGAGGAGGAGGCAGGCCCACAAAAATGGGGGAGAAATTGCATGTGCTCTTTATCTTTGGAAGGGAATTGTTCTTCTAAACCACATTGTCTACGTGTTGTTACTTGAAAACATGTTTAGACTGTGCCCTTAGATGTCTGGATTTTCAGCATAAGCTCCGTTCCATTAGAGGTAACTGTGAATTTATTAGGGGGAAACAGCATTTTGTACAGAGCCTATTTTTGTTGGCAAATTAACAGATTCAGAAAGCTTTCTTTTAAACAGAGTGTCACAATAACAGATTTGGGTGTCTCCTGATCCACTGGCTATCTTTATGTTGGGTTCTCAAACACATTAATTAATACACCATAATTACAAACTGCATTTTAATCTTGTTATTTCTAGGCAAAGAGAAGTGCAAAAATGTGATGCGAGTGATAAGAAACAAAATGAAATCAGTAGCGCTCTGCAGCTACAAAGTTGTATCACTGGTAGAAAATCCCTCATTGACACTACAAAATAGTAGCTGAGTGAGTTTTCTTACAAGCCACAGAAGGAGGCTTAAACCAGTCTAAAAATGGGAGATTTTAAAGCATCCTTACACAAAAAAAATGTTGTGGAAAGCAGAACTCTGAGATTTCCTGAGCAAGGAGATTTCTTGCAAACTTCAGGACTATTTTGCTTCAATTTCTCCTGATTTTTATTTGTATTTGTACATCTTGTCTGTATGAGAAAGCAGAGATGACTCAAGATAAAATTAGAAAATAATTCTGTTTTTAAAAAGAGGCTTTTTAGTAACCAAGTCATAACAAGTAGTATTTTGCATACTTAGGCATTTCTTTAAGGAGGTAGAATATAAATGAGAAGGCAAGTTAAATATCCCGCAATCAAAACATTACAATTATGCTAAAGTGGGGGCTTTTTTCTTCTTTTAATTACAGAAAGCACTCCAAAGACTTCTGCTAGTTGCAGTCCTGCTCCTGAATCTCCCATGAGTTCCAGTGAATCAGTGAAGAGCCTGACTGAATTGGTACAGCAGCCCTGTCCCACTATAGAGACAAGTAAGGATGGCAAATCCCAGGAATCCAGCGAGCCACCTGCTTCTGAATCCCAATCTACAACACCTCTGCCGCTGTCGGGCCACTCGGCACTCAGCATTCAAGAACTGGTTGCTATGTCCCCTGAGCTGGATACCTATGGCATCACAAAGAGGGTCAAAGAAGTGCTAACGGACAACAATCTTGGTAAATCACTTTATTCTCATTTCTTGACCAAAATGAGTGTTCGTGCTTTTATTTTTAAGCTGCATTTCAGTAGATGTTCACAAGAATACTTGGGTTAGAATCTGGCCTAAGCTTTAACCTGTTAAAAAGATCTTTTTATATTCTTTTTCTTTTCAAACTGCTAGAAAAATCCTTGCAGATTGTCACACTGTATTTAAAACATCATCATACCCCTGCTCCTCTTAACCTCTGCTTCTGGCTCACCAGCCGGATGCTGCTCCCAGCTACCTGAATACAGTCCAGCAGGCCATCAAGAAGACCAGAACCCCAAAGACAGGGAGATGTCCCCTTCAGAAGTGCTGTTTTCCCCATGCTTATAGATGGAAGGCCACTACATTTTAGGCACAGCTGCATTAGAGGAGTCCAGCGTGATCAGAGAGGAGGGAGGTGCATCACAAGCAAAAATGTAGCGTACCTGTAGAGCTAGTAGGGTGAATTCAGACTCAGTTGAGGTTTAGGTGAACCTGTAGGGAAGTACATGGGGCCATTCAGTTATTTTGCTTTGAGATGTGCAAACCTAAGGCTGCTTTTGTTTACAGATGAGGTTTTGGGTGTCAAATTAAGTGTAATGTTGACATGACTGTGTATTTGGAATAGTCAAAGGGAATAACCTAATCTGAGTATGGGAAATCCAGGCTTAATACTGCCACTCTGCCTCCAAATCACTAGTTCTTCATATGTGTTTAACACTTGCTTCCCTCGCAAGGCTTTGGAAAGCTTTGGGAATCCATTGAAGTCTCTAGTGGGAAGCCAGTAAGGCTGCCCCAGTGTTACCTGTACATGCTTCTGGGGCTTAGCATGGGCTTCACTTCACTTGTGTTTAGATGTCCAAACCAGATGTTTGGTACTCTCCAGAGATAACCAGTTGCTCTTCAGTGACTAGAGATGGGACCAGAAAGATAAGTTTAGGTTTAGACTGCTGGTGATCCTTATATGAGAAGAACTTCATCCATATCAAGTGAACTGTTACAACTGTATAAGTAAAAACTCCTTTATTTGAGTACATAAGGAAGCTTTTTTCAGCTAGGCACAGAATACTGTCAGATATGTTTTTAAGGGGAAGAACACTGGGATGGAGGAGGTTGCAAATTCTCATTTAACATAATTTAGGAAGAAAAGAAAATGTCCCTGATCATGGGCATACCCTGATGAAATGGTGTTCCACTGAACCCCGCAGAATTACTTGCTTGTGAGCGTTTGCATGGGCACACTGTGGTTGCTTGGTCAGTGGAGGTAACGTAGAGATGAAGCCACAGGTCATGATAAGGGTTTGCAGGTTCAAGCCCCTAGATTTTGGGCAAAATGCTGTTGAGTGCTGTACCTGCTCTGGTGCTCCAGAGAGGTTTGTAAAAGTATTTTTGTTGACCTTTGCTTTGATGCCATTTTTACTTAGTCTTTTTTATTTCCCATGATTTTTGTTTTCCTACAGTGTGGCTGACAAGCCTAAAAAGCAGCAGAAGAGCCAGGAAATGTGCCCCAAACTCTGCATTAGGTGTGGAACCAGTTTCAATGTCTCCTTTTGCGCCCGCAGTGTGCTAGTGCACCAGATTGTCTCGGTGCACAGGTTTCTCTCTCTTAGGCCACAGGGCCTTGTGAACCTGGCCTAGGCAACTGGTGGTGGCTCAGTTGTTCCAGTAACACCAGCCAGTAAAGACCATGGTTGTGCAAAAAAACCATTCACGATGTATTTGGTGGGTCTCTCCTCCCATGCCTTTTAACATTGATTCAACAATCACCATTTGGTGACAGTGTTAATGCTGAGATGTTGCTGGTATTCCTCATCCCAAATGTCATAGTATTACCAGTGATTCCCTGCTGGGTAACATGTAACTTGGAGAGGAAAGCAAATGCAGTGAGCTATTGAAGGATTGCAGTGATGGGGATTTAGTAGAAAGGGACAGGACTAACCATGAAACCAGCATAATTTACCATAAAGAGGGTTTATCCATGAGGAGTTACATCAGTGGGAACAGTTATGAAGGATATTAGGGTGAAAGATGGGGAAAATTAGCAGGAGTTTTAGGAAATCTATGCTTAAAAATATTCCAGTTATTAATAGCGCTCTGATGAAGATGGAGTGTGATATACCTGCTACCTCCTGAGAATGGTTTCTGACACGTTCCCCATTACCTTCGGAGTGATTCAGGTGCTTCATCCTGTCCTGCCATATCCTGAGATACAATAATGACACCTTTAGCTTTGCTCTTAACACCTAGAGAACATGATCATTACCTCCTTCCAAGTACGCATTTTTGATGTTTAGGCTGTAGTCTGAAGTTCGTTTCCTTCAGCAGCAAATCTGTGCTTATATTCCTGCTCATGTGGCCACACAGCAAACCAGAGCAGTTGGTCTGAGTCAAAAGAGGCCCTTTTATTCTCAGTAAGTTGGTTTGACTTGGATCAGTTCTTTGCTCTGTTTTACTGGGCAGCCACATGGGCAGTCGCAGTGGGCACCCTGGCACTGCACAGCGGCTGTCGGAGCTCATCGCACTGCAGCCAGAGCCCAGCCTGGGGTTAGAAACTGTTAGAAACATTAAAGGGAAGTTATTTAGGAAGGCACATGAAAAGATTTTTAAGGTAGCTGTCTTATCTTGCTAATAGCTGGCAGGTTTAAAGGTAAATGAATGAGGCCTTACTGGTGTTTTTCAGAACAAACAGGGAGTAGGTTAACTCTGCAATACGCATGATCGAAAATTGGCTCTGAATTAATTCTTTTGTCTGATTTTCCTGATGTTGAGGGTAGTGGAAAATCACTTATTACTTAGGAACTTAAGTGAATTCTGAGTTCAGGTTTCTGTTCAGTCTCTGAGAACCATTTCCAGGGTTAGTTTAGGGTTTAGTAGCAGACTGTGTCACGTTAGCCCTTTGTTTCCCCTTTCTGCGTTTCATTGTCTCAGCTGCTTCCTCCAAAAGCTCTGCAGACCCACCTGCCCGTTGCATCTGCATGGACATTCTGCAGCTTCTGACTGCTCCCGCATTCCCTCTTTTCTCCATACAAGTGAAAAAAAATCACCAGGGCAAAAGCCTTGGGTTGTTTCTTTAAAGAGGAGGAGGAGATCCATGGAGTTAAGCACAGGGGGGGTGGGTCTATAGAGCAGGTATTTTCCATGACCTGTTTTGTCAGGATCTGGCAAGAGCTGATGGTGCTTTTGTTAGTGTGGGAGTGTCCTGTACAGCTGTAGGAGCACAAGTCCCCACCTATCCACATTGTCCCTTAGGGATCTTATTTGTTGCCACTGGGTAAGAGGTGCTGGCCTCGCTAGGCAGTGAAGAAAAAGCATTCTGCTGTGTGTTAGTGTGGGCATTCAGGAGCTACCGATCAGACACAAGACCCTGAGGCCTAAACCTGGTCAGTATGGAGAGATCTTTGTGTTACCTTGAAAATACATGATAGCTGTGCTTCTATCAGGAATCACAGGCGGTGACTTGGATGACTTCAGGCTCCATCTTGTAACAAAAAACTGTCGTGTACAAAGTAGTTCAGCTTAGGAAGAAAACTGAAGTGAAGGGGTTTAGAAAAGCAGCTGTATGGCAGGGTTTGGGCTGCACAGGCATTTTCCACAGTCTTTGGTAAGTTAGAGCTTAACCATGTAAAACTAGTGTTACCAATGCGCATACAAATGTTGTACATTGAAAAACATATGCAGTTCTTGCTATGCTAGATGATAACATTTAGAAGGAGAATTAAAATCAAGTATTCTTAACTAGAAGTACTGTCGAAGCTGTAAAAAATAAAGCTGTTACATTGTAAAATGTGGTTATCTGTAGCTGGTAAGACACAGTTAGAACACCGCAGATAGTACAACACAAAATATGTACATGTGCCTTGGAGGACACTTATATGACCATTGCTGAATGCAGGGGGATGCATTGGTCCCTATTGCTTGAAACGTTTGGACTGCCCTGTTGGGATGAAGCTGTTGCACTACCCTCCTGCATAAGAGCTAAGTAGCCTCACTGCTCTCACTAGTTGCCTGCCTAGCTAAAAGTTCAGTTTATTTTTAATCTCATTCATTGTATTTTTTGCACACTGTTTCCCTGTAAGGTCCCACTCCCCAGATGTGTTGAGCTCCCCCCTTTGCCACAGTCAGATCCTAAGGATTTAACTAAAGCTCAATATTTACACATTTAGTGGGGGGCAGAGCTTTTATTCTTCTAAATGTTTCTCTTGGGTTTTCAAGCAATTCTGAAGTAAGAATAATTGATGAATGATCTCGTTGACGTGTTCTGTCTTTATAACTATGAAGAGAGCCTCGTCTCTCAGCTGAATGAATTCATGCGATTTTCAATCTCGTATTAGGTCAGCGTTTGTTTGGGGAGACAATCCTAGGGCTAACACAAGGCTCTGTCTCAGACCTTCTGGCTCGCCCGAAGCCCTGGCACAAGCTGAGTTTGAAGGGACGGGAACCCTTTGTCCGCATGCAGCTGTGGCTGAACGATCCCAACAACGTGGAGAAGCTGATGGATATGAAACGAATGGAGAAAAAAGGTAACTTGGAGCAGAACTGCTGACTCAGGCTTTCCATTTTTTCAGAGATGACCGTGTCTTTTAAAATTCTCCATAAATAGTATAGAGGCAGCATTGATCCAGCGTTATGAAGGTTATGCAAAAGGACTTCCTGACAGCTTTTCGTAGCTGTATTTGATGCTAGCTCAAGCAGATACATCTCGACAAAAAGCCAAACAAAAAAACAACCCCAAACCCTGAATATTCACCAGGTCATGAAATCAGTGCTATATTCTCCTATAGATTAATCACTGAGGCCCCAGTGTATCACTGATAACTTGCCTTACCAAATGAGAAATGTGAGTTTGGGAGCTGACTTTGGGTTGTTAGTTAATAGTACTGCAGCTGGTCACAGATGTTGGGCTGGAAGAACTGTGCATTGATTCCCAAGAGAACTTCTTGCCAGTCCTGCAGTGATGGTCACTAGGAGGAAAGAAAAATGCAGTCTTTATAAAAGGGTATTTGAGAATAATTGAATTTCTGGCCTTTATAGGGATAGAGGAAGCTGATTGTGTTAATATATGATCACAAAAACCGGGTAGGTCATGAGTATGTACCTGTGAGACACCTCAGTTGTTATTGGGTATCTTGGTAAAGAGCATATCCTGAAATTTTATCTTGCTCTCTATAAATCCATTACTAAAACCCAGTGGTTATGCAGAGCCCTGGTTTTAGTACATTCATGTGATGTTACAAGAGCAACTGAGAGGCTGCCATTATCAGCAGTTAACTAATTAATGATATATACATCTCTCAAGTTAGCCCTTAATGATATTAGTACAGACAGCATTAATCGTGTGCACTGAAAGCACTGCTGTTGACTGATGTCCTGAAAGCATTAACACATCTGATCAAGAACTTTATGATTATATTTAAAACTGCAGGGAGGGAGCTTCTGGAAAAATTGTAGTTTTGCATGCTTTTAAGAACAAATTCAAATCCTTGTCATAGTAACCAGTATAATACAATGCAGAGCAGTATCTTACCACAAATTGTGTGTGATCTTCCATTGGGAGTAAAATCCACTTGGGTTTTCCACCTACAGCTGTAAACCAAAGGGAACCATGATGGGTTTTGCTGTGTTAGAGACATGGCAGAAATAAACTTGTCAGCTAGCTGGATTTTTGTAGCCTCAAAGAGAATATTGTCCATAATGCAGGAAAATAAAATACAAATAATTTAAAAGTAGTACTGACAATATCCTTTCAAAACTATTTTCTAAACTGGGTTCTTATCAAATCCTGTGCAATACATGTACTCTAGAGATGGCACCTGAATAGAGATAAGGCAATAAATCATTGAGACTCTGTACTGAGCTCCTGGACTGTGTAAGTGCTGTCCTCATAGCAGAGCAGTCTAAAGTGAATTCAAGCCTCTCTTTTCTGCAGAATCCTTTCATGCAGATAAGGATCCTGTGATTTAACCTTTTGAATGGCTCTAGAGCCACATTAAGAATTTAACTTTCCCTTCAGCTAGTGGTGGTTAAAGAACAGTGCAACTGTAGCTGCTACCAGTGAAACATTATTATCAATTATTTCTCTGCCACACTTTATTAAGGGAGTAAATTAATAATTATGATAAAGGTGAGGTGCATAGATCTCTTTTTCTGTTCTCTAGTCTGAAGTTTGTGCTGTAAATGTCCATTTTGAGAGGCTCTGAAAATGTGCAGTGTACATTAACTAACCTCTTTGGAGGAAGCCAAGGGTTCACGCTCACTAGGCTGAGATACCCTACACCACCTTTCCAGCCTTGGAGGAGCTCATTCCTCCTCCTTACAACCTCCTGGTGTGTGTGCTGCTGGTAACATCACACTGCTCACAGAACAGTACTGAATCCTGCTGTCAGGAGAAAATTTAATTCCCTTTATTTCCCCATTATTTCACTTTTTAATAATCTTGTTCAATACAGCATAAGATAAAAATGATATTAAAAGGGGCTCTGTTTTACCTCGGTGGGCAGCCACGAGTTCTGCAATAGCGTCTGCTGCTTCTGTAGCTGAGCGCATGCTGGGGAGTCTTCCCAGAGGGATGCAGAGATGCTGGGTTGGCAACAGCAGCAGGGAAAAAAGGCAGTAAAACTGGGGATAGAGCTGGCCTTGACAAGGTGGGCTGAGACCCAGCTCCAGGCCTTCACCCAAATTACATCTGGATGGGGGTTTTTCATAGGTTTCCTGAGAAGGGGAGACCGATCACAGGCAAAAAATCAGACTTCTCCAGAAATAAAGTGTGTTTGTGACTTGGATTCCAGTTTGAGCTTTGCTGTCACTGCAAATGTGCTGAATGATCTCCTTATGTTGTCTACACGCAGCACATATGTTTAAAATAAGAATTAGAAAGGAAAAGCTTTTATAAACGTCATCTAAAGTTTCCAGAGACCACCATTAAATCCAAAAGCTTGGGTGCTAGTTCAGCATGTGAAGTGCCACAATTGTGCCTTTGGCCTCCTGTGTTCTGATAATATATAATCCTGCAGGAATACAGTTGCTTATGACAGAACAGTGGGACATCCTCCTCTCTATTTTTATGTTAAGGAAATACGTGCATTTATATAATTTATTGCATTCATGTGAGAGACCCCCAAATCAGCCATTGCACCTTTTGTGATCCCAGTGTGAGGTTACAAAAGCAGAGGTGGGTGTTAGGGCATGATATCTTTCCCAAGGTATCACTGCTCCGTGCTGACCTCAGCAGTCTAAAGATGGGAGCTCTGACCTGCCAAAAATGCCATCCTTTGGAGAGCAGAGAAAGCAGAGATTCAGAGCATCCTGATGCATGGGTGTCTTGTGTTAACTCAGTCGCCTGACTGAATTCCAGAAGCTCCAGTTAGAGATAGCCTAAACACCTTTTACATCTTCCATGCAAGGTTCTGGTTTGTCTCATGGCCTCCTTTAAGCTGCTGCACGTTGCTGAAGTGATACATGCTGGTTTTCAGACCTCTTGGTTGTGCTATTAAAGGAGACAAGGAAACCTTGTGTGTAGTTTGTATGTCCATACAAGTTTGAAGTAACACCTAGGAGGCTTTGAGATGAAGTACCTTATATAAATGTGAGGTTTTATTGCTGGAGTGATTAATTCCATGGTTGAAGGTTGTAACAGTTCCTTGAAGGCTGCAAAAATAAGGCAAACAGGTCCCACTGAAATAATGCATTTACTTGAGGTCACTTTGCAGTTCTGCATCCAGTTGGAACAACTTAAATAAACACCAAAACACAATTTTGCTTTTTATGGTTATTTCAAATGCATGCAGGACTGTATCGTGGCAGAGTGATGGATCATGAGCAACACACGTTCTGTTCCATATCAGTGATCTTACACAGTAGGCAATCCACAGGTAATCTGTCATATTCACGAAAACCAAAATGAGAGTCATGCAGATACCCCCAGAGGTTACAGAATGTGTTCAAAATTCACTTCAGTGATAGTGAGACACAGTGTAAAATGGTCCCACTGGACATAACTACTGTATAAAGGACAGGATGGTGAACCCACTGGAGACACAAAACCTGGCCAGTCCGTCCGGAGCTCTGCCAGAAGAAGTTGACTTGGGTGAGAAGGGCTTTGAACACGCAGTTTATTGGATTGCATTGAATTTTCATTCTTTGTGCACCCTCAGCCTAAAGGCAGAGCTTGGGGAGAGAGACATTTATTTCTTGAAGAATTTGGTTGCTGACCAGTGCAACGTGCCCTGTGTTGGTGCCTGGCTCTCATGGGAGCTCCTGGAGATTTAGTGCCTGCTGGATTGATGTCAGGCTGGTGTAATCTGGAATTTAATAGCCAAGGTTATCAAATTGCAGCTCTTGAATACCTCAACTCTTAAATATCTAGAAGGTATTTATCAGAACATTAAAGGTTTTATTGACAAGACTCATCTATGTTTGCTGGTTTCAGCCCCCTCATTAGCAATGCTTGAGCACAATACTGCCAGGTGCAGGAAATCCCACCTCTCTTTGCCCAGTGAAAATCAATCAAGTCAGTGACAGCCTTTGCTGAGACTCTTCCCCTGCAGAATTTGCCAGGATAATTCTGTCCCCATCCAGGAGCAGTCACCGGTGGTATCACAGGCTTCTGCCACCAGCCTCACTGAGCACCATCAGTGCAGCAAGAGCTTTCTTAAATACGTTAATTTTGAATGAGCTTGTGTAAGGGGGGAGGATGCTGTGGGCTGCTTTTCTTTCATAACCTGTCACCGCTATAGCGGAGATGTGTAGGAAAAGGCAGCAAACGCCTGCCGGGTTATTCAGCCCAGCGCTGGGATCTCTGGGCGCCGGGCGCCATCGTGTGTTGGAGCCGGAGCTGAGGCTGTCTTCAGCTCCCCCAGTCTCTCTTGAGAGCTTAAGCGTTAGAGAAACCTTCGCATACACCCGCAGGGTTTAACAACCAAACAAGTTAAGTGCAGCTGTCCTAATCAGGCATTTGTGCGGACGTTCGCCACTCAAAAGAGTGCATCTGAAATAAGTGCTGTTACCTGAACCCTGTTATTTATGTCCCACGTTGAAAAAGCAGAAAACTCTGGCAGGCTTCTAGTGAATTCATCATCTTTTTGTCCCCTTTCTTCTTTTTCTGCCTCTTATATCCTCCCCACATTTGCTTTCCTCTCGCCTCTGACGATGCCCCTTCCTTTCTGCTGTCTCCAAACAGCCCATCCATGCATCCACAACCTGTCATCTTCACGTTTATTCCACCGCTCGCGCATTCATTGATTTTGCATTTGTATTCAGCTGGGGCTCATCCAATGTGCTTCTCTTTTCAGCCTACATGAAGCGGCGACACAGCTCTGTTAGTGACAGCCAGTCCTGTGAGTCCTCCTCAGCTGGGATAGACTACAGCCAGGGCGCCAGCCCTCAGCCACAGCACCAGCTCAAGAAGCCCCGGGTGGTGCTGGCACCAGAAGAGAAAGAAGCTCTGAAACGAGCCTACCAGCAAAAGCCATACCCATCACCAAAAACCATTGAGGAACTTGCTACACAGCTCAACTTGAAAACCAGCACCGTGATCAACTGGTTCCACAATTACAGGTAGGAGATCTCCCAGGAGCCCTATTCCTAAAGGATTTATTCTGTTCGCTTGGGCAGGGTGCTGCTGTGCTGTTTCTGCTAGCACTGAGCAGTCATACAAGATGAACAGTTTCAATAGCAGAGAGGTTCTAACTAACAGTGATGCTCCAGACTAATTTTAAGTTATCCCTGAGGAGCAGCAATATTCACATATTGATGTAAGTAATGCTTTTCAACAGAAAGTCTTGCTTTTGGGGTGGGCGTGGATTTAGAGATGTCCACTATTGCATATTTATAAATCCCACTGCAGTAAGCAAGACTGGCATTTCTCACTTGCATATGCACACTCACACAGACATACACTTGCATGTATATACACACATATAGGTGTTTGGTGGGTGTGTTGTGCCTGGGTCAGTTGGTGCGGGGTGCTTGGAAGTGTCCTTTACTGGATGGCACCAGATGTTCCTTCATATTTTCCCACATAAGAGCAAAACCAGGATTTTCTTTTAGATCTTGAGTCCCAGAGCTCTGAAAACAGGCACAATATTTGCTGTATTTCTGGGAAGCTCCACACAGCCGTGAAGGACAGAGAACTGATAACCCTGAAGTCAAGATGTGGGTGCAGATTTATTTATGATAAAATGATTTAGTTATGATTAAATCATTGAGTCCTGCTGAAATGAAATAAGATGGTCTGTTTAGTTCCTTGCTTATTTTAGAAGAAATCTTCACCACATTTGAACGATTGAAGCAGGTTTTGGCCCAGAGACATCAATAAAAAGAAGCATTAGAAAGGCACATAAGGATTACAAGGATTTGAATAAACATATTATCACCTGTGTTTAGGATTGGGAATCTTAATTCGTGCAGCATTTTTCTCCAAGAAATTGGTGCTAATGACTACTAAACAGGCAGAGTGAAGATACCAGATTCAGTACTACTCTGCTCCTTCCCTCGGAGCCAGTAGTGTTCCCAATTAGTCCAGATTGTTTTAGGAAACTGCTAACATTTAAAGGGTGTTTTCCACTTTGTCCCTTCTCAGCTTTAAACAGAGAAGTCACTGAAGCAGGAGCAGCCTGGGTTAATAAGATAGCTCAGAAACACTATGCACAATAGTTAAATAATATTTATCATAAAGAGCACAAAATTAAGAAATTAGAACCAACAAATAATCATATTTACACTGAATTTCACTGACTTGAATGCACTACAGATGCAGCCTCTTTCACTGCTCGGAGTCCTCCACATGCAGGCCTCTCTTCTGATTCCCACTTCTAGGCAATTATACACAAGTTGGAGGGATGCCTATGAAAATATGTTCCCTTCGGCCTGACAGCAAAATGTGCTGTTCTCACTTAGGCAGACGAGTGCGGGAGCACTGGTGGCATGTGTCATCTTCCTCATTATCATGAGATCTCCTGCTTAGGCGTGCTGCGAGAAAGAGTGACAAGTCATGATTGATCAGCATGTTTAGCCACACCAAGCTATACATGAACGTAGACTAGGTGCTGACAGTTGTATGCAGAATAAAAAATGTATAAACAAGGTGCTGTAAGCTGGTGGGTAGCACCAGCCTCACAGCACTGAGCGGTCTGGACCTGTTCCCAGATGTGCTGCTAAGTTTCCAGGTCTGTAAAGAGAGATTTCAAGCCTGTTTGGATCCCTGGGTGCTCTGAGCAGTTGCCACCACTGGAAAATCAACACATGTGCCTGTTCTTTTCCCCTGTGTAACAATTTTCTTAGTTTTCATGCATGAAGTACTCTTAAATCATTTGCAGGACACTGCAAAAGAGGTACAGTTACATGTTCTGCTAAGGGAGCAGGGTCTGACTGTTCTGCAGCTCATGTACTGTAAGGAATGGGTACTCCTTCCCTTCTTCATCTTCTCCAGGCCACATTTAACTTTATTTATCTCTTTTATACTCATTCTCAGCCATTTCTTTTCCAAACTGAAGAGTCTTCATACATCAGCAGTTCCACATCTCAGAGCATCTGTTTCTTTAAAATAACTTCAGATAAGGCAGGGTACAAATCTGGAGAAGTTTGTCTTCCTGGTTCTTGGGGAATCCTGTTGCAGCAGTGGTTTTCCTTTGGGATTCCGCCCAAACCTCACTTTCCAAAGGTAATTGCTGAAGTAGAAGCTGCCTTTATATTGACCAGCTGGAAAGTCGACACTAGCATTTATTTTATGCAGCAAAATGAACTTAAGAAAACCCCTACACCCTCAGTGGCCAAAGAAATCATTAACTTCAGAATATAAATAGCTATAAAGGATTTTGACATGTCTACAAGCTTCTTCCAGTCTATGGCTTTGCACCCATGCCAATCACATAGCTCTCAGAACATAAAAATAAGGATACTTTACTTTGTAGTAGTGAAGCACATACAGGACGCATTGGAGTTTGAGGCTCTGTTGTCTTAAAAATGGTACAGAAGAGTAAGAGGTGGAGATTTCTGTCCCACTTCACAAGTGGAAACTGGCACATAAACTCAGGGAGGTCACAGAGGTGATGCTACAGAAACATCAGGAAGTAAGTCAGACATTCTTGGATCTTAACTTCATTGCTCTTACTCTGGCCATATTTTTCAATGAACTGTAGTTAACATTGTGCTTGTTTAGATGTGGTGTGAAGGCTTGTACAGGGAACTTCAACATGAGCCCCAAGAGATCTCTGATATTTTGAGCTACACTGATGAATGCCAACAGGATGTGTTATGTTGAGGCCAGCACCTTCCACTGAGAGGAATGCTCTCTGGAGTTTCCTAGCTGCTGTTACCAGATCTTCTTTACCTTAGGGATTTAATTCCTATGTTAATGAGGAGCCAGACTTGACTCCAGAAGCAATACGTTGGGTGTGAATTCTAGGATTGCCACAGGCATCAAGCCTGTATTCTGTGGGGCTGTGGTCAGGTACCCCTTGAGCATGTCATCATTCAGTATCTTGCTGGAACCGAGGTATTTAAAATGCCATGCAGGCACAAAGCTCTTACCATTTCCTCTCCTGAGTTGGGGGAATGTTACAGAAGCAGTGTGTTCTGGATCAATGTCCATGTAGGGCGATTATAGGCATAAATAGAGCCTGATAATCAGTGTTGCAGGATGCATGCAATTAATGGTAATAGAAAATTAATGTTAGCACCTGTGGTCCTCTGTTAGGTGAATAATACTCTCCTAGGGAAAATTACAGACCCTGTAAATCCTTCAAAAGTGTAGAGTCAGCAAGTTCTGCTGAAATACTCTGTTGCATTTCAAGTAAGTCAATAATATCATTAGCTTCAAAAGCAGTATTCAGATGGTGTTCTGCATTTATCCTAATTTTTCTCCATTGTGTGCTGTCTTCCATAGCACATTTAGGGAAAATGAAAAATTCATACAGGCATCAGCACTGGGACAGCATTTCACTTGTGATTTGCGAGACCCTTAGCAGTTCTTCCTGGCTGAAACAGTGTTATTTTCACTCTGAAACATAAAGTTTTGCTAAACTCTCCCTGTGTCTGTACTCTGGTCCCTGACCCGAAGTCACTGAGGCTCTCTCTTGGTTGCAAACTGGGACCTGAACAGTGGTCATAACCTCTCCCACTGACAGAGCAGTACAGAAGAAGAGTTAGCCATGACCCTGAGATTATTTCATAAGCTATTCTGTACTTGTGTGCATAGTGGGAGCTTCTAAACAGAGAAGGAAGTGAGAGAGAACCAAGTTAAATGGCAAAGGTAGTGTGTTTGGGGTATTACCGCACGCTTCAAGCAATAGGTGGCACAAGGTGGCACAATGGGCAGTTTTAAGCACACATGGAGCACATTAATTCTTTTGAAATGCACTGCTTGCCTTGTCACTATTCATGTTCTGAAATGGACTTTCTGAATAAAAATGTGAGGCAGAAGTCAGACGAGCTCATAGACTGATAACCTGTCAAAGGTGTGCTTCCCCAGAGCACATTCAGAACAATGGGCTTTGTTTCGTCTTCATTCCTCCTTGGTGAACCAGGAGAACACCAAGGGGATTATCCATTTTCCTCGTTTGTGTTTTGTTTAGGCAAATTGGAGCTCATTTCTAGTAGAAATCCAAATTGGTTTGTATTTACAAACTGTTTTCTTCTGGTTCTACTAGAAATGTATTTGTGTTTTTAAAATCATCCCTTTTCTGGTCCAGCAGTTGCAAAGTTTTATCTTCCTGATGTCAGACTTCACGAGAATGGGAGACTGCAGAGCCTTTCATCTCTGTCCCTTAAACCACATCCAGTGCTATAAAAATGGAGCATACAGTTACAAACATTATTGAATTGAAACTTGCAAAAATGGGGAAGATGATCTCTCATTGGTTTTCACCAATCATTTTAAGTACAAATTGATTATCTGCATGAGGTTTGCGTTTTTGCTTCGTTCCATAATGCCTGTTGTGGTTCCTAGAAGGGACGGTCATCAGCGTCACATTTACAACAGATAACGACACCCTGGTTGAAGTTAGAAGGTCAGTCTCAACACTGGGCACTGCAGAAGTTACCAAAAATGCCTTAATCTGCTCAAAATCCTGTTTGTGGCTGCTGCCCTCCCACCATGCCATGGAGGACCCAGTGTCCTTCTTCACAGCAGACGTGGCCAGTGAAAATGAACTTCAAAGCATCTTAATAGTATTTCACACTCTTCCAAATGCCTTTTAAGTCAGTCCTTTGGGTTTAGGCTGTGAGTGCTTCCACCTTAGTGCCTGTAGCCTAGGCAAAACGGTGCCTGGGCATTTCAGTGGTGGTGACCCCCAGCCCACTGACCACCCCTCTCCACTGTCTCCTAGGTCTCGCATCCGCCGGGAGCTGTTCATCGAGGAGATCCAAGCTGGGAGCCAGAGCCAGGCTGGGTCGAGCGACTCTCCTTCCGCCAGAAGCAGCAGGGCCGCTCACAGCTCCGAGGGAGACAGCTGCGACGGCGTGGACGCAGAAGGCCCGCCTGAAGGAAAGCCCAGTGGCCCGGAGGCGGATGAGTACAGCAATGCAACCACAAAGTCTCAGGGAGGGCCAGCGGAGTCGGCTTTCGAAGCGGGGGAAGAGGCACTGCAAGGCGCCAGGTCTTCGGAGAAAGCGGAGCCGTTCCAGGCGGAGAGCCTGGAGGACACCGACGACGAGGGCAGGCTCAGAGCACCACGCCAGAGCTCTCCGCCGGCATCGCAGCGCCCGGGAGAAGCTCTGGAGACACTGCCAAACTCTGCCACGGAAGGGGATGCCTCTACCTCAGCTGCCTCCACCTCAGTCCTTACAGGGGAGAGCTCCTACAAGTCAAAAGAAAGTTCAGAGAAAATCTCCAGTGTGCCAAGTACGAGCTCGACACCGGCCGCAGGCTCGCAGAAAGCCAACTCTCTTCAGAGCTTGTTCGGCTTCTCGGAGGCGGCGAGCTCCAGGAACACGCGAGACAGCTCCTTGAGGAAAAAGAAAGCGGCAAACTTGAACAACATCATCCACCGCTTGGAGAAAGCCGCGAGTCGGGAAGAGGCGGTCGAGTGGGAGTTTTGAGATTAAACCTTGCCCAACTCTGGAGAGCTGGGAAGTGAAACTGGACCTCTACTGGTTTTATTGTGTTGCGCACTTAACCGCCCTGCGGGCCACAGGGCAAAAACGCCATAGGCCAAGGTGCATATAGAAAACAAAAAAAGGAGCGTTAAGCCCAATTTATGTTTGTTGTTTTCGAGGAAGAAAACTGAAATGTGTAGTCAAGCTTTTTTGTACCCTGAAGTGTTTTTATTATTGCCCTAAAGTGATTTCCACAGTTTCTGGAATAACTCATACAGCTTTGCCTTGTGCCCTCCTCTTTGGTGTGGGCTTTAAAAAAAAAGAGAGAGAAAAAAGAAAAAACAGTAAAAAAAAGACGAAAGAAAAAATCAAACCCACATATTAAAAGGGGGCTTTTTATCTGCCATCTAATGGCGCCAGAGCGATAATACACTATTATCTTCTTAAACCAGGAAAAAAGAAAAAAAAGAAAAAGGGGAGATTTTGCAGAAAAAAAAAAAAAGAAAAAATAAAAAAGTTTTTTGTAGCTGTTCAGTTGCCACTAAGAGATTGCACAGTCAAGCGACTCTAAACACACTAGTTTGGATTCCTACGTATTTTCAAGAAAAAGGAAAAGAAAATCTTGTTTGAAACTTTGAATTAAAAAAAGAAAATAAGAAAAAAAAAAACACATTTACTCCACCTATTTTTTAACAAAAAAACCCAGAAAAAGTCAAAAAGTCACATCAGGAAAATATCTTAATTTGTGGTAGCTGACTTAGTGTTTTCTTGTAAGTGAAATAGAATATTGACACGTAGTGCACATTGTTTCATAGCTTTAACTGATTCTGGTCTTTTGCAGACCAGAATTTGTTTAATACACTCCATTTTAGGCCAAATCAGGACAAAAAAAAATAAAATCTGAATCTAGGTATTTTATAATCTGCTTTTTAACCTCTAACCACAGAGCACGCTGATCAGACCTCATATCTAGGAGGTTTAGGAGACAACTTAGAAACAGCATGTACTTGATCATTTCACTTGGTTCGTAGTGTACAGGATTTCCTTTCCGTAAAGACAGAGCGCTCAAAAAACGTTGGCCAGTAACATTTCAGCCTGCTCCTTCGGGACGTATCCCCTATCCCGAAACATTCAGCTTACCTGGAATCGATTAAAACATAGTTCACCTGTACGATTGCTGTCACACACACCACTAAGAGGGGACTGGAGCTGCCTCAGATAGAGACCTTTTCCTGCTGTTGGTGGCCATTTACTGACTCTCTTCCCACCACAAGCACTGATTTTAAATACGTTTTAGTTGTGGGAAGCTTATTTTTGCGTGGATTAAGAGTACATGGCAATGACCAGACGGGCTCTTACCGGGATGGAAACAGCCCAAACTCCAAACCAAAACCTTTGTGCTCTCGAGTCCCAGTCTAGACCATTCTGCCCTGCAGAAACACAGCCTTTTTTCCATTATCTTATGCACAGGTTAGGGCTGATCAAAGTACAAATCAAATTCTAACTTGTCTCTAACTCCTCCTGTTGTCTATATGTATATGCGTGAGCATAGAGGTGTGTGGAAGGATGTGTGTGCGTGAGTGTGTGCGTGCAATTTTATACGTCTGTGTATTTTCTTACGTACTTGTGCACACATAGAGTGCATTACTGCCACCTTTTTTCAATAAGCTGTTTTATCAGTTATGGCTTCTACAAGTTTGCTAATTTAGACTCCTTTATTGCCATATCTTTAAAACTAACAATAGATGATTTCGGAATATATATATATATAAATATATATATATATATAATTTTTTTTTTTTTTTGCTTATTTATAGGTGCTGTATTTTATTATCTGATTGTTAGGAAGGGATGAAAGGGGGCAAATATTCTTTAGAGGGATAGACTGCCGGCAGTATTGGGTATAATTTACAAGATGTAGTTGTCATACTGTATATTATTGATTGAAGACTTTTTGACCGTATTGTGTATCATTGAACTTTTGTCTTAGGTCAGCATCTTTTTGATGACACTTTAATGGTGCATTCATTACTTCTTAATTTTAATTAATATTACTTTTCTGATTTTGGGGGAGGGAGGGATGGGGAGAGGAGTTCCGACTTTAAAGGTATGTTCCCAATATTACACCTCAGTGTGCTTGTATTAATTCATAAGTAGGATTTTTGACTGTAAGATGTGAAACCACATTTCTTGCATGATGTTTTAGAACTTACGTATTTCATTTACAGTCTCTTAACATGCAACAGCAGCACTTAGCGCAAGTTTTCACAAATTAAGAATCAGTACACTAAAATCAGTCCTTTTCATGATTAAGGAAAGAAGGCTCTAGGAGGCTGAAAGGCAGGGATTTATTTCCTATTTTTACTGCTAGCTGTTTCAGGATACCTCCTTGGGTAACTGGGGACTTGTGATGCAAACCTAAAATTGAGAAACAGAGAGAGCAACTGCCCCTTTGTGTGATGAGGTGAGGAGGCGATTTGTAATAACAGACCCCAGTATGTGACAGCACGTGCTGGAAGCGGTTACGGCTTCTGATCCGGAGTGCAGTTAGTCCACGGGAACAGCCAGCGAGGGAAATAACATGGTGAAGCAAAATGTTACCTCTCTGTATGTGTACAGTGCCCTGGTTTGACTTACAAAGCACAGCTCCATCGATAAATGCACGTCCTAGTAAAAATACACATACCTTAATACAAGTCATAACAAGATGTGTCTCCAGGCAAGAAGCAGAACTTCTCACTGGAAGACACAAATATTTTCTTAAGTTCTTTGTAATTTCTCGTTGTTGTTGTTGTTTGGTTCAGGTTGGGTTTTTTTTATAGGCAATACGCTTGCCAGTCTTTTTCTACTGTCCTTGTCTGCTGATTTGAGATCCAGGTGCTTGATGCAGTCAAGTGGTGACTCTCTGCTTTCTCCATAGGGTTTTTTTCTGTTTGAAGATTTATTTTTGTTCTTTAAATTAATATTCCCCAAACTGTTCTTGTGCCTGTGTCTATATGATTGCATTCCATGATGCTTACTGAGAGCTCTTGCTGCATTATACGACGGCAGAACTGTATTCGTAGGTTGAACGCAAATGCAGCACTTTTAAGGTCAATCTCTCTTCTTAATAAGCAATACGTAAGTGCCTTGAAACTTAGATCTTCTGGATTTTTTCTGTTTATTTTTGTTTTGCTTTTCAGGTTTCCACTAATTCTGTAGGATTCTTTAGCGTCTGCCCAGTTTTTAATGCTGTAATGATTTTTAAAAAGCATATCTGTAGCTTGCCCTAGAGGAACTCTTTCTTTTATAACACTAACTGTTAATTCTAAGCTCCATTATTACATTTGAGTCATGTAATTTTGCTGGATAAAGACAGCATTCATAAGTCAGAAGTCACTCCATCCTGCCAAGGGTTGTCATTGGTCTCTATTACAAAATTAATCAAATAAAATGCTGTCAGTATTTCCTATATTTTTGGCACTTTATTAATGGCTTAGCTCCTTTTGTTGTTTCATATTTAATGATCTGCGTTGAATGTGGATTAGCCTGCTGAGATGCTATTGGGGTGACCTGGCCCATCCTGCGGGGGGTCATTTTGGGTTCCTTTGTGACCACCTTATTTAAGGGCAGGGGCAGACAAGCGCCCTCCATTCAAGCTCATAGGGTTGAAGTGATGTTCCCAGCTGTTTGTTCCCGGCTTTTAGCCAAGGTCACAGCTGCTTTTCTGTTTCAGTGGGAAGTAAAATGGATTAGCTTGAACTACTGCTGAGATTCTCTTGTTGGAGGTGAGGTACCACTGGCTTTCCAAACGGGCAGAGACCTCCCCAGTTTAGAGACTGAACACTGAAAGGTTTTACCTGTATTTCTCATCAAGTGCAGCGTTTGAAGTAATGCTTTTAGGAAAATGTGTATTAGAATAATTTTGTGTTTTAATTAAAAGGATAAAAAGTTGGAGGAGAAGGAATGCCAAAGAGTAGCACGGTGGCTTTTTACCCTCTTCTTTCACTGCTTACACGGGAAATAAGGTGTTCCAGGCGCGTGTGATGTGGGGCTCACCTCACGGGGCAAGCGTTTTGTAGGGCACAGAGCATGGCAGCAGAGCCCTCCCGACAACATTTCTTTTCCTGATGGATAAAAGCACAGGCAGTTTTCAGAAGATCAGCTATGCCAGAGTCTGGTTTTTCCTGATGTTCTCTGGAAGCAATTTTATTTTCTCTTTCCGTTTCGAGTTCTATGCTCTTACTCAGCTGTGGATGAAGGGCCCGGGCTATTTTAACAGAAATACCTTTATACTGCAGTTAATATTGTCAATTTTTTTCTCTCTGGATGGTTAGGGAAGAAAAGAAAGTGTAGTACTATGTTTGCTAAAAGCAAGGGAAGAGTATCCCTTGGCAGAGGGGCCGTAGAATGGGATTGTCAATATGCTTCCATTTTTAAGGATACAAATTTCAGCCAACAGAATTTGCACGTGTAATGGCAGAAATGCATTTAATAACAATTGCTGTTGATGACATAGAGTTTGACAATTTTATTTATTCATGTGTAAAATGCCTATAAACAGAGCCACTCTTTAAAGGAACCTATACCAGTGCACTCTGCCTGTATCATGCATTAGTGAGTCCTTCAGTAATAAACTCCTTGCTGTGATAGGAAAAGATCTATCTTATGGCTAAAAAGAAAAAGCAGTTTATGTGCCTTTCTCATTAGGTGAAAGATCTTTGCATTATTTTTAACTTGTTCATAAGGGAATGGTGTAGAGAAAGGGGCTCACGAACATGACGGAATTCTATGCAATATTCTCTGATCCAGTTACTTAAAAGTTGCTGGTTTTCAGTGCTTTAATGGAAGAAATAGGACGTTAGAGAAGTGTGGCATTCTGGTGGTAATTCAGACTCCAAAGTTGATAAATTCATAGGAAATAGGATTGAAGGAAATCTGACAAAATAATGTCAGGAAATAATGGAAACCGCTAACAGTGATTGCAGTCCCCTACTAGAACAGCTGCCAGCACAAGTCAGTCATTTTCCATCTTAAAATTAGTAATTTCTGGTATTCTTAACAATCATATGAAATAAAAATGCTCCTGACAAAAGCAGGGCAGGGTAGGGAAAAAAAAAACCACAGCATTTTGACCATATATCCATATATAAATTAAGAGAGTACACAAAGTAATGGTTATAGACACTTCTTTGCACTCAAATTTAAACTGAAGTCTCAAAGTAATCTGGACCGGTGCCTTTAGCAAGGTTGCAAAGAGATCAGTAAACTTGGCATTTGTGGCCAGCCAGAAGTAAAGTGGTGACATTTTTACCATGCAGATGGAGGGCACTATTTTTGCTTCGTTTGTGTCTCTTCCTAACAAGCAGGTTTCTTAACTTCTCTCTTCTTTCTTCTTCCCCCAGTGTACATATCCTCACGTATTCTCTGTCTTACAGCCACTGTGTGTGGCTGAGCTGTGAGCAATTCTTGAAGAAGACTATCAGAAACATGCGAGGTGGAGAGGAAAAGTTGGATCTTAGGTGGGGGCTGGATATTAGCATCCACTAAAACCAAATCACATCTTTCCCGTGAGTGAGTGGCAGTTTTGGCCCTGATGAGACAAGCTGCTTATAGCTTCGTACTCCTACATTTAACACACAGATAAAATGGCTGCAGAGCAGTTCTCAGTTCACTCCTGTGTTGACCTGCTGCTTTCCCCTGGCACTTTCTGCTGCCCCACTGTTTGAGCATCAGGATTTTCTTCCTTTGTGTTGCATATACAATCAACTTCTTAAAAAAATAAATAAATCTGGAATTTAAAATTCTGTAGAAACCAAACACTTCTTTCCCCAGCAGTTTAAAATCTTGCTGAATGTTTTTTATTTGCAAGGAGAATCACTGGCGTGGAAAGCAAGAGGTCTCAATTTCTCTTCACCTTAACCTTCTTAGTTTGAATAGTGATGTAGCAGCCCCTGTCTCCTTCATGTATGTATCTGAGCTCCGAAATTTAGAAGCATTATTTCCCCAATTTGTTCTTTCCTTCCCATCTCTTTTATGAGATATATTGACTATGCCATGTACAAAATAGAGTTAATAATGAACTTTATAGCAAGAAAAGTCCTGTATGCTATGCCTAGGGACTGGTTTGTCCTACATGACCAGGTCATGTACTATGCCCTACCCTATTAATATGCAAAGATTAAAAGTTTCATGCTCTGAAGGTGAAATTTATCCTTTTGGAGAAGGTTAGCGTTAAGCCTGTGCACTTAAGTTTCAAAAAGCCTTAAAAGCAGGTATGTAAGTGGTGCCATCTCCTCAGGGATGACTCCCCCCCCCCCCTCCCCAGCCAAGTTGTGTGGCATATGTAAGATAACTTATTAGTTGTAAGGTCATTTTGCAGTTGAAGAAGGTCATTCGCTGAACTTTAATAGTGAGCCTTCTCACCAGCATCCTCTGGTACCAGCAAGGGCTGGTTGGAGGCCTGATTCCCTGGCTTTGATTTTCACTGCTATTCCCAAGCATGTTCTGGCATTAAAAGGAAATGTCTCCTTTTAAGAAATTGATCAGATTATTGTATTTTTCCTTGCCCAGCTCTTCTGTGAAGGACAATTGCGGCCATTTTTCAAGCTTGCTTTACTCACAGTGAGTTCAGTAGATTTTTGCCACAGTTCTATAGATGTCTTATAACCGTTGGTTTCATTGTATCATTTCAGTTTCCTTACATTTTGAAACAGCCAAATGCAGAGATTGACTGATTTCTCCACCCTAATGAAACGGTGCAAGAAACGGTGCAGCAAAAATAGATGCCTGAAGCCCCCATGACATCGTGTCTTTCACATTTTGTTTGAAGTTTAGAGGTTATTTGTACTCTGTGGTACACTCTTCATCCAAAGATCCTTGGAAATGGAGAGTCATGCCAGGAATTTCCTGCTGTTACGGTGACATACCTGGTTTTGCATGGTTACTGTGTAATTCTGTGGTAGTGTTCTCTAACAGCGCAACCTCTCTACTGGCAACAAGAATAGCGGCGTTAAGTTGCGTTGTCCTCTTCTGTCTATGCGGGTAATTAATATGCATTTGTAGGAGTTGTTAAATATGTGTATGTACAGGATTCCAGTATGGAAAAGCCCCTCTGTGTATGTGGTATTTGCGTGCTTGCCCTTAATGGTGCAGTAGAATTGCTACAGCCAAATTCATGAAATCATCTGGGGTGTAGGTGAGTGAGGGCTTAAAACCAATATGTATTTTGATTTCTAGAGGATGCCATTTTCCCACTTGTCAGATAAGTTCCGTGATGTAAAGAGGGAATTATCCATCTGAGAGATTGGATTGTGTGAGCTACGTGGCTTTAGCTAAAGAGGAGGGGGAAGATCACATTCAGAATACACCAAAATAATTCCAAGGGTCTGAGAAGTGCAAAAGCCAAGCCATTTGAAAGGAAGGGCCAAACCTTGACTGCAGTATCCTGTAACAGCTGGTCTGGAGGTTTTGCTTTGATGCGCCCTCCAAGAAGTCAATATGCTAGATACTTGTGCATGTAAAATACACTCTCCCCTATCTATGTGCAGTTGAACAGGAAAGACATATTTAAAACAATCACCAAAACAGCTGATCAGTAATAAGCCAAGTAGTGACTTAAAGCAGCAATTCATTCTTGCTCTCCCTAAGCTGAAAATTCAAGTATTCTTAGGAATGAAATAGAAATCTGTGTTATGCAGCTCCTCTCAGGAGGCGAACATCTGTGTTTCCAAGACGAGAAATCAAACTCAAACTTGGCACTTGACTTGCTCTGAAGTACAATCTTATCTCCAAGTAACTTTCCTACAATCGGTCTTTCAGTCAGACTTCTCTAGCTTTTGTTAGCTTACATTAGACCCTTAGTGCTATTTTGATGTATTATTTATATGTGGGTAAATTATTACTAGCTTTAAAAGTGTTTCCAAAGTACCTAGTTACCTCTGGATGCTAGTACAGGCTACATGGGAAGTACTTGAGCATCTAGTTTGTAATGGGTTTGTGTGGGGAATAAGCAAGGCCACATCTGTATCGTACTTTTCTTTTTCCTTGATCAGGGCTTCCATTTCCTTCTCGTCTCCTCTAGAGAGATGGAGATCGTGGATCAGTTCTTTTTTTCCTGTGTGGGAGAGGTTTTGGTTTAGCTCGAAATGCCTTTATTTTCATTCAGTAGGCAAGTCACCAAACACCTGTATGTTACCCCATTTCCCATTCAGTTTTTTAGGTTTTGCTACTGACCTAACTTTCCTATTTAACAAACTTTCTCTACTTGGAAAGCTATGTGCCTTAATTCCGAATCTCTTTGTGGAGAATAATCTAAAGCACAGTGATCTAGATTGCAGCTTTCACAGCCACTTTTCATTGGGGGGGGGGGGGGGTGAAGCAAGCACCCATCAAGGAGCGTTTCAGTGGCCCGACACGAGTTGCCCCATTGCTGATGAGCACTTCAAACACTGTGTGAAGTCTTTGTGCAATAGCAGTTCTCGCTGTG